TCTCCAGGATCCACTAGCACGGATTTCTCCAGGATCCCCTAATGTGGATTTCTCTGGGTTCTGTGACACTGAGGGAACTCGGGGTGCAGAACACCGCGGCAGAGTAATGACAGCAAGGGACAAGGCACAGAGTCTGGGCCTCGAGGAGAGGCTCTCAGCAGAGGCTGCATCTGACTCACATTGCTCAGAAGGCAAAAAGCAGCCACATCCCTGGAATTTCCACGCACTTCCGGCTCTTCAGCCTCCAAAACCAGCCCAGTTTTGGGGCCTGTGATTGATCCAATTCCGTGATACAAACAACGTGTGGGCAGAGATGAAGCTGGGTTTGGGAGTGATGGGAGGAGCTGCAGTTCCAGGCACCCCGCTCTGTTCCCTGGAGGGGCACAGGAGGGGACGAGCCACGAGCCACCACGGGGTCAGGCCGTGTTCCTGGGGACACCCCTGTGGGCTGCTTTGCTGGTGGCTTTCCAGGACCTCAGGCTTCACTTCCTGGACTGCACAGCTTTTGCAGGAGCACAGCAACCCAGGGCTGAGCCACCCCTGTCTCCAGACACCTTCCAGAAGGTACTTCCCTCAATCCTGCTCCCAGCACAGGGCCATTTCTCCTTTCCAGGGCAGACAAACCCCATCTCCAAGTGGGGCTTTTCCTCTTTAAACCCATTTTTCTGGCCAAGGGCCCATCCTTAGCCCTACACCCCCATCCACCTCTCTACCAGGAGGAGAAGATCCCAGCCTCAACATTTTTTCCCATCTGATCCCAGAAAGCAGAAAATTTTTGGGCTGGATGCACACCTGATCCTTTAAAGCCCTGGCTAAGTGACACACCCAAGTATGAAGAGACAGATGGTGGAACAGGCAGGAATGGGACATGGAGAAGGGTGAATGCCTTTAAACTGAAAAAGAGAAGGTTTAGAGATGTTGGGAAGAAATTGTTCCCTGTGAGTGTGGTGAGGCATCAGCACAGGCTATGCAGAGCAGCTGTGGCTGCCCCTGGATCCCTGGAAGTGTCCAAGGCCAGGCTGGATGGGGCTTGGAGCAACCTGGGATAGTAGAAGGTGTCCCTGCCCATGGCAGGGGGTGGGATGAGATGAGTTTTAAGGTCCCTTGAAATCCAAACAAGCCTGTGATTCCATGGTCTCCCCATCCAGCATCCTGACCCCTCACATCACGCCATGCATCACGCTGACCTCAGGACCCAGCTGCAGTGGGCTTCCAGCTCCCCCATCCAACAATCTGTGCACATAAGGGGGTTGGGGTGTGTGCATAGAGGAGTTTTAATTAGCTAATAATCTTTAATAGGGTTTAATTGCCTTGTTATAAAAGGTAATTACAGCAATACATCAATTAGAGCTGTAAAATTAATAGATTTACCAGTTGTATTTATTGAGGAGCTGCGGCTGGCAGCGTGCAGCAGCCAGGGCAGCACTGGTGGTTCTGCTCTGACACCAACAGTGGGAAGGAGAGCAGCCACCAAGCCTCTCTGGCATGGATCCTGCCCCTCCACCCAGGACAATGTGAGACCCCCCAGCAAACTGCCCCAGGACCAGCAGCCAGGCAGAGCAGATGGACAGACAGACCAAACGGGAACGTGGGGCTCTGTAGGTGCAGGCTCAGGCTCAGTGTCCCTGCCATGTCTCTTGGGGACACTGGAACAAGTCACCTCTGCTTTGCTGGAGATCCTGAGGTGGAAACAGCTCTGTCTGCGTGTGCTGGGGCAGATGCCTGTCCACAGCAATGGCTGTGGAGACCCCTGTGTCCCCCCTCATCCCCACATTTCACTGTCAGGAGAAAGCCATTGCCACAGCCCAGTGTCTGAATGGCTCTTTAGAAGGTAGCAGGGACCCATGGGTGCAAGGATGGAAGCCCACCCACACTGCCAGGCAGAGGGGGTGTCCTCTGGGCTGTGCAGCTTGCTCCAAGCTCTCCCAGACCCTCCCAAACCCCGAGCACGGGGGCTGTGGTCAGACTGCCAAGTGGCAAGTGGTGACCCAATGGAAAATGCATCTCATGGGATGGGCTTTAGAGGAAAAGCTGCTCTCTGCTGTGTTGTGGCTTCCTCATTCAGTTCATGGCTTAAGCACATGGGGGGTCAGGGATGAGGTGCTGAGCCCTCCCAGCCCCTTTCCAGCTTTGCTGATCCTTCTATCAAGCAGGATCTGCCTATTTTCCATAAAGTCAGGAGACCACGCAAACATCTGCTCAAAGTATCCCATTTCACTGCAAGAAGTGTTTCTGAATGTAAGGTCCCAAACAGGCCAATTTCCTGCTCCCCGTAGCCCCCAGCCCTGCGGGGTTGGGGTCCCACTCACGTTCTCGTGACCACTTTTCCCAAAGCTGTGCCTGGTGCCTGCAGGAAAAGCCAAAAGACAATGGGCTGGCACGAGACCAGGCCAGCCTGGGGCAGAGGGATGGAGGCTCACACACACAGACACCAGCCTGGGATGTGCCCCCTTAAATGGCACTTTGGAACAGCCCCCAAAGCTGCAGTGACTGGCGGGACCCCGGCTCACCCCCATCAATCCTGAGGGGGGACTCAAAGGAGTTCAAAAATCCCTTTGTGCTTTGCCCAGACACCTGGGGCAAATTAGAGAACCCTCAGCACAGCTGGAAATTAATCTTTGCTTCCCACAGTGCAGCAGCAGAGTCATCTCAGCCTTGGAGAGAGGTGGGGATCTGCAGCAGCTGCTGCTCCGTGGGCACACAGTGCCTTGAGGCACTGGGGGCTTCACAAATAACCCAAACAGCAGAGCTGCCTGCAGGATTCCTGCCCGCTGCCACAGCTTCTGCTAGAAAAGCTCTAAAGCAGGGATGGCCCTCAGGAGATGGCCAGGCAGGGATGGGATGTCCTTTGGGATGCACCCAGGTCGGGATGGCCCTCAGGAGATGGCCAGGCAGGGATGGGATGTCCCTCAGGAGATGGCCAGGCAGGGATGGGATGTCCCTCAGGAGGTGGCCAGGCAGGGATGAGATGTCCCTTGGGATACTCCCAGGTTGGGATGTCCCTCAGGAGGTGGCCAGGCAGGGATGGGATGTCCCTTGGGTGGGATGTCCCTTGGGATGCTCCCAGGTCGGGATAAGCTGGTCAATGCCCCCCTGGAGCCCCCCAGGCAGTCCCGTGGCACTGCCTCTCCAGCCAGGGGTGCCAGGATTGGGATGTGATTTGTGGAGGTTTGCTCCACAATTGATGAGCATCTTCTGGTGTAAGAAACAGCCCAGGGCTGCTGCTGCTCCTGCACTGAAACATCCTCTGCTCAAGGGTCTCCACTGCCTGGGGCTTTAAGGATCCCACAAGAAAAATAATCTCCAGGAACAGCTTCAGGATGAGCTATTCCCACCTCTAGAGTGACCTTTTCCTCTTCTACACTTTGCCCATGTGCACAATGTCCAGCTCTGCCCCTCTGCTCCAGCTGCAGGGATTAAAGCAGCCCCCAGGCCTGGCTCCCTCATCCCTGCTGCCCTGGGGAAGGGATGGGGACAGGGACAAGGCAGGTGAGACACCTGGAGCCCCACATTGCCTGTGCACACAGTCAGATCCCCTTCCACTGTTTTAAAAGGCAGAAAGGGGGAGAGGCCTTGGCACACCCCTCCTGGGATCCTGGTGCAGAGGGGACAGGGCAGACACACTCGTGGTTTCCAAGCAGCAGCATCCCACCTCCCCTGCAGCCTCCATCCTGTTCCAGCTCCTCAGGTGGTGCCACCTCCTCTGTCCTCGCAGCTCCTCAGGGAAGGGGCCATGTCTGCAGATGTCCATGACCAGCTGGCAGCACAGCACGTGGAAATTCCACGCTGGCAGAAGGAAATCAAGCCCCAGAAAATCCAGCTATCAGCATCTTGATGTTTTCTTATGCCAGAGATGTTTTATAAACTCACTGCTCCTCCAAACCCACCATCTTATCCCTGTTTGTCCTTTGACCACCCTGGATCCCACAGCAGTGAACACCTCAGTGTCAGCACGTCCTGCCAGAAACATCCCAGACATTTGCTCATACAAAAGATGGTGTTAGCTCATTTCAGCTCAGAATGACAGGGACATGGAAGTCTCCACTCTTCCATTTTTTCCTTCCAAATCTGCCACCTTTGCTGCAGCAGATGCAACTCTGAGCAATACTGACAAGCTCAGAGAGCAGGATTCCATGGGAAAAACTGTAGAATTATGGAATTTCCTGAGTTGGAAGGGACATACAAGGCTGCTTCTCAGGGCAGGCAGATCTCAGTGCTGGGGCTGCAGCCTCTGGAGAGGGACCCTGCACTGCCAGGCCCTGATGGACAGCAGCCCAGGGCCCTGATGGACACCAGGGCATGGGCTGTGGGGCTGCTGAGCACCTCTCCCCCTCTCCACACTCTGTATTTCTGGAGATGAACCACTGCTGCCCATATTCCATCAGCAGGAAAAGCTGCACGGGGCAAACCCTGTGTGCCCACAGCCATTTCCATTCCTTTCCATCCCCAGTGATTTCTGAGCAGGGCTGGTTTCTGCTGTTCACTGCATTTCTCCCTCCTGGCCTGCTCAGTGCTGCCACTGGGGGGGAGGGCAGCATGATGTGGCTGCTTGGCTTTACCACATTTAGTGATCCAAAAAGCCACATTAAAAATTGCACTCAAAATAGTACTAAACCGAAGTGCTGGGAGAGTCCCTCAGATTAAAGGAGAAAACGAAACTGGGTTCAGTTGTAGAAGTTAGAGCAGCTGTCAGAAGTTAGCTGCACAAAGCTGGAGTCAGAGCATGGTGCAGACAGGGGTGTGGGACTCACTCTCAGCCCTGCACAGGTAGAACAGCCCTGAGGCTGCTCCCATCCAAGCTGGAACTAGAAGTCTTTTCCCAAAGCAGGAGAACAAATCTGCCCCGTGCAGAAAGCTCTAGGGAAGGGGCTGGAGCCCCAGAATGCCCCAGGGAGACCCCGAGCTGTGGTTTGCAGGGGGAATCCGAGGCTCCAGCACAGGACAAAGCCAGAGCAGCTCTGGGGCCGAGGCTCACCTGTGCTGCTCATCCCCAGGCCAGTGGGTGGAGGAGCAGAGCGAGTTTCCTTCATGGGCTTTGGACGTAAAAGGCAGCAGAGGCTGGAGGCGAGCAGATTAACATCAAAGGAAAAAGATGATAAAAAAGTGCTTCATCCCACTTTGTCCCAGGCAGGAGAGGCCCAGTGACCAAACAGGCTCCCGTGAATCACGCTGGTGACGAAGGCAGCAACGGGCTGTTTGTTTTCCTGTTGCCAGGGCCCCGTGGCTGGGCTTGGATCTGTGAGCCCTGTGGTTCAGCCACTCTTTCAAGAGGGTTTGGGATGGGGAAGCTGGGGGATCTCTGCTGTGATTTGAGGGCAGAGCTGAGACCACAGGGTGGGGTTGGACTGGGCAGGATGGAGCTTGTGGTAGCAGGAGAGGGAACTGTGCTGGCTGGAGACCCCAAATGCTGCTGACAGCAGTAGGATGGAGGCTGGGGGGGCAGTGGCAGCAGAAGCAGAGGGTGCTGTAAGAACCACTGCACAAGGACGGCTGGAGGACAGATCCCACTGGGAATGACACACGGACAATCAGAAAACACCCTCGGCTCCGATGACAAAGGCAGAGAGTGCCAGACTGCCCTCCTGTTCCATGCTGCAGGTGAGTTTCCACTTCCTCCACTTCTGCCTTCTGCCCTTCTCTGTGCAAAGCCTGGCTGCACTCACTGGATGCTCAGATCTGCCTGGTCTGCAGTGCTCAGCCCGAGTGCTAAAGCATCTCCTCCACCCTCCAGTGAGGTATGGGGTCTTCAGAGCTCATCTATCAATGATGCAGAAGTCCATGCCTCCATTTGCCAGTCTGGGTTCAGCATATTCTGCCATTTTTCCATTTTTCCATGACTGTCTTAACACCTGGGGCTTTGTCTGCATAGAGATGGTCTCTTCAAGCACCTGGAATCTCAGAATCACCTTGAAGCTCATCTCCTTCCACCCTCATGCCATGCTCAGCAGCATCTTCCACTGGACCAGGCTGCTCCAAGCCCTGAGTACTTCCAGGGATGGGACAGCCACAGCTTCTCTGGGCAACTTGTACTGCTGCCTCACCACTCTCACAGGGAAGAATTTCTTCCTCATATCTAAACTAAACCTACTCTTTTAAAGTTTAAATCTGTTGCCATTTGTCCTCTTTCCATGATCCCTGCTCATCCATTTCTTTCTTGCCCTTCCAGCAGGTCTCCCCCAGCCATGCCAGTCTCTTGTCTTCCTTTCCTGATTTCTTTCTCATGTGGATTGAGAGTTCTTGCACTCTATGGGAAGAGTCCTTAAGGACTTGCTAACTCTGTTCTGCCCCTTGTCCCTCAGGGTGTTTCTTAGGGGTCCCACTGAACAATTTGCAGTTTGCTATCCTACAATTCAAGGTCCAGACCTAACGTGAATCTTTGCCTGTCCCCCATCCCCCAGGGCTGTGAGTTCCAGTGGTGCACGGTCACTGCAGCCCAGGCTGCCTCCAGTCTTGGTGCTGCTGATGAGCTGACCTGTGCTGGTGGTCAGCAGGTCCCACAGACAGATATATCTATCCTCTCTGTGGGACCTCCAAACATGGCCCCTTGCAAAGCCAAGACCTGCTCTCCTATGAGGATGTTGGAAATTACCATAATGCAAATAAAGCAATGAATTATTAATGATAATTCAGCATCCTCTGCACGAGCCTCTGCTCTGTCAAAGGATAAAAGGAGGGTGGAGAGGCCCTGCACAGCTGCCCAGAGAAGCTGTGGCTGCCCCATCCCTGGAATTACTCAAGGCCAGGCTGGATGTGCCTTGGAATAACCTGGGATGGTGGAAGGTGTCCTTGCCCACGGCAGCATGGTGCAAGGAGATGGGTTTCAAAGTCCCTTCCAGCGCAAACCCCTCAGTGATTCTGTAACTCCCAGGGTGTGACCGGTCCTTTTGCTGTGACAGGGCTGGGTCCATCCTGGTTCCCTTCCCTGGGCACCAAGGCCAGCCCAGCACCGTGCCAAGGGGGCACAGGGCACAGCTCTAAACCCTCCCTCCCCGGGATGGCACCCCCAGACCTGCCCGCACCCCAGACCAAGGCTGGGGGGAGCCTGCAGCCCCCCGAGGTGATGCCAAGGTCACTGCCAGCCGGGGCAAGGCTGGGGAGCACAGTGAGCCCGGCAGAGCAGGAGGGACCGGCAGCTCCATCTCGTGTCGGACGGCAGCAGCACAGAGCGGCGAGCCCGGCCAGCCCCGGGCAGCCCCGGGCAGTCCCGAGCAGCCCCGTGCCACCCCTCACTGTCCCGTGCCACCCCTCGATGTCCCGTGTCACCCCCTCTCTGTCCCTGCCACCCCCTCGCTGTCCCGTGCCACCCCTCGCTGTCCCGTGTCACCCATCGCTGTCCCTGCCACCCCTCACTGTCCCGTGTCACCCCTCGCTGTCCCGTGTCACCCCTCACTGTCCCTGCCACCCCTCGCTGTCCCGTGTCACCCCTCACTGTCCCGTGCTACCTCTCACTGTCCCTGCCATCCCTCACTGTCCCATGCCACCCCTCGCTGTCCCGTGTCACCCCTCGCTGTCCCTGCCACCCCTCACTGTCCAGTGCCACCCCTCACTGTCCCGTATCACCCCGTGCTGTCCTGTGCCATCCCTCGCTGTCCCGTGTCACCCCTCACTGTCCCTGTCACCCCTCGCTGTCCCTGTCACCCCTCTCTGTCCATGCCATCCCCTCACTGTCCCGTGTCACCCCTCACTGTCCCGTGCCACCTCTTGCTGTCCCGTGCCACCCCTCGCTGTCCCGTGCCTCCCCTCGCTGTCCTGTATCACCCCTCGCTGTCCCTGTCACCCCTCGTTGTCATGTGCCACCCCTCGCTGTCCCTGCCACCCCTCACTGTCCCATGTCACCCCGTGCTGTCCCGTGCCACCCCTCGCTGTCCCGTTTCACCTCCTCGCTGTCCCGTGTCACCCCTCGCTGTCCCGTGTCACCCCTCGCTGTCCCGTGCCACCCCTCCTGTCCCGTGCCATCCCTCACTGTCCCGTGTCACCCCTCACTGTCCCCTGCCACCCCCCGCTGTCCCGTGCCACCCCTCGCTGTCCTGTGCCACCCCTCACTGTCCCGTGCCATCCCTCACTGTCCCTGCCACCCCTCGCTGTCCCGTGTCACCCCTCGCTGTCCCGTGCCATCCCCCGCTGTCCCGTGCCACCCCTCGCTGTCCTGTGCCACCCCTCGCTGTCCCTGTCACCCCTCACTGTCCCTGCCACCCCTCGCTGTCCCCTGCCACCCCTCGCTGTCCCGTGCCATCCCTCACTGTCCCGTGTCACCCCTCGCTGTCCCGTGCCACCCCTTGCTGACCCGTGTCACCCCTCCTGTCCCTGCCACCCTCAGCACAGACCCCCGGCCTGGCTGCACAGCACGTGGCACCGAAAGCACAAGCGTAAATTGATTTTTACAGGCACGGGGCCCAGCCTGAGCGACTGCTGCTCCTTAGGGAAGCAGAGCCGATGCTCCCGAGCTCCCGTTCACGGCTGGCGTGTTCCCAAGGGGGTGAGGACAGAAGCCATCCCTCGCTGGGGTCACTGCTGGCAGCACTTGTCCCCTGGCACTGAACACCCAGTGTCGGTGTCGGGGCAATGAGGGGGACACACAGGCCATGGGACACGAGCACAGTGCCCTGAGCAGGACACACAGGCCATGGGACACGAGCACAGTGCAGGGCACACAGGCCATGGGACACGAGCACAGTGCCCTGAGCAGGACACACAGGCCATGGGACACGAGCACAGTGCCCTGAGCAGGACACACAGGCCATGGGACACGAGCACAGTGCCCTGAGCAGGACACACAGGCACAGTGCCCTGAGCAGGGCACACAGGCCATGGGACACGAGCACAGTGCCCCTGAGCAGGACACACAGGCACAGTGCCCTGAGCAGGGCACACAGGCCATGGGACACAGGCACAGTGCCCTGAGCAGGGCACACAGGCCATGGGACACAGGCACAGTGCCCTGAGCAGGACACACAGGCCATGGGAGATGAGCACAGTGCAGGACACACAGGCCATGGGACACGAGCAGAGTGCCCTGAGCAGGACACACAGGCACAGTGCCCTGAGCAGGACACACAGGACATGGGACACGAGCAGAGTGCCCCTGAGCAGGACACACAGGCACAGTGCCCATGAGCAGGGCACACAGGGCATGGGACACGAGCACAGTGCCCTGAGCAGGACACACCGGCCATGGGACACGAGCAGGGCACACAGGCCATGGGACACGAGCAGAGTGCCCTGAGCAGGACACACAGGCACAGTGCCCTGAGCAGGGCACACAGGCCATGGGACATGAGCAGGACACACAGGCCATGGGACACGAGCACAGTGCCCCTGAGCAGGGCACACAGGCCATGGGAGACGAGCAGAGTGCCCCTGAGCAGGGCACACAGGCACAGTGCCCTGAGCAGGGCACACAGGCCATGGGACACACGGGATGGATGCAAGGGACAGCTCCTGCATCCCTGCCTCTCTGGACACACAGCCAGGCTCCTGGCTCTCTGCTTCTGGGATGGACTCACAGTTCTTCCTCCTCCCAATGCCCTTCCAGCCCATGGCACAGCCCTGCCATCCTGCCCGAGCAGCAAACCCCTCTCTTGGCCCTGCTGGCACACGGCTGGTGCCAGGATCTGGCTGCTGGCACGGCAGAGTGCCAGGTGGGCAGGAGGGCAGCAGAGGCAGGCTGAGCTGCAGGTGTTGGGCTGAGGGCAGCACCTCCCACTGCCTGGGAGCTGTGGGGCAGTGCCGGGGCTGCTCCAGTTTCCAGAAACCAGATCTCCAGGGAGGCTGCCAGCCCCAGCACCAACTGGCAGACGTGGCGAGCAGGGTGGTGGGCATGGCCTGGCAGTGAGGTGCTGCTGCTCTGCTGCACCACAATCCTGCCACTCACAGGACTATCGCCTTTGGAGCATCCCAAAGGACCAGGGGAGACAGGAATGGATATGGGGATTTATTTTGGTGTTGCTTCAGCCAGATGGTGCCCTGCACGTGCCTGCTGGTACTGCCTCTGTGGCTGCTCAGGGAAGGGAACAGGCCAGGCACGGCCCAAGGTGCCCACTGCATCTCCTGACAATGGGGTCAGGAACGGGGCCCCATGTTCCTGGAAGGGCGAGATGGGCCTCAGACAGCTGGTGGGGGGCTCTTTGCCCAAATGCTGAATTCTTGCCATGTGCAGGGAACTCCTGCCTGCTCTCACCCACCCGCTCCGAGGCAAACCCACGGTGGAATTTGAGGCAGGAGCAGGGTAACACCTGGGATCAGCATTGCTGCCCTGGGTGCCATCCCCTCTCCTAACCCACAGCCTCCTCCTTTGGCATGGCACAGGGACAGGGTGACACTGTCCTGAGCACCTCCCTGCTCCTGAGACGCTGAAACTAAGGAGTGGGAGGCTTCAGCCACTGTGGGGTGCAGTGGGGGTCTCCTGGATTTGCCAAAGCAGGACCAACAGCTGCTCTTTGCTCCATAAAGGGGTCTGAGCCCACGGCAGCTGGGGCTGTGGAAGCCTCAGGAATTGCCTCTCAATCCCCTTCTCCTCTCCCTGCTGGCTCAGTGCATGTGACAAACCCCGGGCCCCTGTGCCCCACGCGTGGCCGGGACTCGGGGAGCTGCAGATGTCCCCACAGCCGAGGCAATCCCGGCATTTTGGGAAGTGTGCAAGCAGCTCACACTGGGATTTACACCCCTGGCATGGCCCTGTGCTGCTTGCCGAGGATCCAACCCTTCGGGCAGGCTCCGAAATGATCCCAAGCCCCCCTGCTTTGTTATTAAATCAAATCCATCTGGCCTCGACCAGGGACGGTTGTTATTCGAGATCCCTCTCCTAGAGGAGTTGGGATTAGCTCCGGGCATGGGGGATTCTCCCTCCCTCCCTCTCTCCCACCGCTCCCAGCCCTCCTGCCTCTCTCTTTTGTGTTTCTTCACTTCTGGAGGAGCAGGGGGAGGCGTGGGCAGCTTTTGTGCAGCGCTGGCTGCAGGGGTGTCCCTGCAGGACCGTGGTGCCACCGCACTCCTGGTGGGTCCCATGGGGGCACACCTGCACCCCCCACCCACATCAGGGCAGCCAGAACCCCCCGAACCCCGGCAATGCCACAGCTGGCACGGGGGGTGACAGTGACACCAGGCTTTGTCCCAGCCACCTGCCACCCCCATTTTTGACCCCAAGCAGCCGAGCGCTGCCGGGAGCTGCTCTCCCCGGGGACATGCAGGGCTGAGCAGGGTAATCCCCTCTCCCAGCCCCACAGAACCCACTGCCCCAGGAGGGCAGGGTGAACTGGAATGGTGAGGGATGTGCTACTGTGGAGCAAATGCTTTTAGCTTTCCAGCAAGTGCCTTGAGTGCTGCTGCTTGCCCAGGTGTCACTGCTGGTGTCCCTTAAGGCTGCAGCTCCCAAACCACCATTGAGGAGCTGCTGGATCGAAGATTTGGCTTTTAGAAACTTCATGAAGATGATGGATTTCCACTGCTCTGACAACACAGAAAGCAGTGGGCAAATTAATTGGTGATGACCTGCCAGCAGGAGGCAGAGGCAGGGCACCCAGCCAGCGTGGGGATGTGTGTCTGCTCCTGGTGCAACCCCTGGGGCCACCTGGACCAGCAAGGATAAGGTGACAGCATGTCTGTCTCCAGCCCTCCAGGGACTCCTTTAGGTTGGGCAGATGGAGCCGTGGTCCCCATGGGCTCTCCAGTGCTGGGCCTTGTGCTGTGCTGGCAGCAATGAGTGTTCCAGCTTGTTTTGGAGTGATCACTGGGTAGAGGCTCCCCCTGAGCAGTGCTGGGCTCAGAACATGCCCTGACATGGCTGGGTTTGGCCTTGGCCTCTTGCACCTCCTCTGCTGTGAATTCTCTTGCAAGGACACAGCCCGACACGCAGGCACCTCCACCATGGACAGGGTACACTGTCCCCAGCAAATGACACCCCCACAAGCTGTGTATGGGGCACATCCCCCCGGGGAGAAGTGATGGTGGCACTGTGGGGTGAAGGCCAGCAGGGCACAGTGCCAGAGGGACCTGATGGGTCAGAGGCCAACTTTAAACATGGGTTCAGTGTTTAAACCCCTTTCGTGTGTAAATCTACAAAGCAGCAAGCACCTTCCCAGCCTTGACAACAGGAGAAACAGCGTCAACCCCTGCATTTCCCTCTCACCACAGGGATACCTGGACCTGCAGACAGCCTGGACTGGGAAGTGGCACCTGAGCATCCTGGATGGTCCTTCCATCGCCCCTGGAACCACTGCAGCCCCTGACGAGGCTCAGGGCATCCCTGCACTCCAGCAGCACCCCCAAATCACTGCAGGCATCCTGCAGCCAGCTCTGCTGGACGTCAGCCTGGCTTCCAACAACTGGTCCTTCTGCTGGAAAACATAAAAGGAGACAAGGCACTTTCTGAGGGAGCACTGGAGTCCAGGCAATCAGCAACGTGGGAAATGACAATTTCACTCCTGGGTCACACTGAGGTACAAACATTACCACACCTGCTCTGCTCTCCTGGGGAATCTGCAGCATTTAAGGACGAAGCCTTCATCCCACAGGAACTTTGTAATGCACAAGGGACTCCCCAGTGACAGAGGTGGTGCTCTCATCTTTCCTGGATGGCTCTGCTGGTACCATCTCCTCGGGGAGCAAAGCACAGCCCCCTCCATCACCCAGCCCTGTGGTAGGCTGCCAGCCCGTTGGGGAAGAGATGGGAAAGTGTCCACTTGATGTGCCTGAAAAGCAGCGCACATCTCCCTGTTGCTATGGAAACACTGCTTTTAAAGCAAATTAATAATAATAATTAACACGATCTATTAAATAATGGTAATAAAAGCATTAGTAATGACTTGTAATTGGTAAAGTACTTGGAATAATATACACTCAGCCTGTGACCTGCTCCCAGCTCAGAACTGGAGCTGGGGGCGGCATCTCCCACCCGCAGGGGAGTCCTGGGTGAGGGCGAGTGCCCTCTGCCTTCAGTACCGTACAGGCAGGAGCTTAGTGGGATTCAGGGAAGGATCAGACTTTTATCTGGATAATGAGGATGTCTAGACTGATAAGAAGAAGGGGTAAATTGGCTCAGGGCCTTATTCTGCCTTGCTGTGTGCTTGGCACAGCAGCATGTGGTGGTGGTGGTGGTGCCTGGGCAAAACTGAAGTGGGTTGAGACCAGGAGTCTACACCAGGCTAGAAAAGACCTTGTTCCTCCCAGTTTTTAACTGAGAAATCAGAGTACTTCCAGGACTGTTAACCCCTGGGAGGCAGAGGTGAAGAGAACTCTGAGAAACTTTTAATGTGCTCAAATTCAGCATGGATAAGAGAAGGCTCCAGGGAGACCTTAGAGCTGCTTGCAGTGCCTAAAGGGGCTCCAACAGAGCTGGAGAGGGACTTTGGACAAAGGCCTGAAGGGACAAGACAAAGAGGAATGTCTTCCCACTGCCAGAGGGCAGGGTTAGATGGGATATTGGGAGGAAATTGTTCCCTGTGAGGGAGGTGAGGCCCTGGCACAGGATGCCCAGAGAAGCTGTGGCTGCCCCTAGATCCCTGGAGGTGTTGAAGGCCAGGTTGGACAAGGCTTGGAGCAGCCTGGGATAGTCCCTGCCCATGGCAGGGGCTGGGACAAGATGAGCTTTAAGTTCCCTTAGAACTTGGTTGCAGCCAAGGGGATGGGGCAGCCACAGCTTCTCTGGGTCCCTCTGCTCTGTCCCTCACACATCAGGTCCTTGTGTCCCACTCATCCCTACACCACCAAAAGCAGTGTCCAGAGCAGGGCAGTGCAAGGCTGAGCCCAGAGCCATGATGAAACACCCTCTTTTCAAGCTGTGAGAAGCTTCCAAAAGGATCTGGAACTGCAGAGAGAAAATCAATGCAAAGACCTGACAGCATCGCCTGCTTATTTGTGCCCAAAGTCCCTGTGCTGACAAGGTCTTCCTGCACGGCAGAGCAAGGACCTGCTCTCTCAGAATCGCTCAGCATTCCCACAGGAGCCTGCCCAGACAGGCAGAGCCAGGACAGGAACACCTGGGAAAACCTGGCCCTCGCTTTGGCTGCTGGCCTGAGATGGAACTGTTTGGAAAAGCAGGTCCCCACTGTCCCTGCTGTGCTTCTGGAGAGGCATCAGCCATCCCTGGACTGGCATAAGCAAGTGCAAAACTAAAAAAGCACTGAGATGTGTTCCTTAGACTTTTCCCAGCAAGGTCTGGCACCCAGACTGCCGGGCTGTGCAGGATGCAGGAGCAGCATTAGGATTGCAACACCTGCGTGGCTCAGGCTCCATCCCAGCCCGGCAGCAACTTCCACCACGAGCCTAAAATTAGCAGCGACAGGAAGAGCTCTGGAGCACGACAGGATGATTAGAGCCTCCCTGGAAAGGAGGCATCACCTGCAACGTAATGACTTTCCTCATCTCTGTCAAAATGTGCAACAACCCTTGTGGAATATGATGGGCAAAAGTGAGGCAGTGAGATAGGGGAAGGTGCTTCTGCACAAAATTGGAGTGATAGCACTTGTCCAGAAATAAAAAACAGGATGCTGGCTCTCTGGACTACGCCCTGGACCTGCTGCATGGCTTCAATCAAATTGCTTAGAAAGACACAAAAGACTTAAGGATCGTGCATGCCAACTCCACCCGAGATTTATAAACAGCAAGAAAACACCCAGATAAAAGGTAAAAAAATCTCTTTCACATGTATTTAACTGTATATGTTGTGTGAATAATCAGTGTCACTCTTCTCCAGCACCAAATCCATGCTTCAAAACTCTTTGTTGGCCTTCTTTGGCTAAAAATAGTCAACACCACCCACATCCATGTTCCTGAAAGAATGGGATGTCATTGGGCATCACCCCTCCTATAAACTTGCCCTGTTTTCATTTAAAATAACTCATAACTAGAAAGAGCATTAAAAGTGGGTGCACTGAGCCTCCAAGTGGGAAGATGTGACTGTGCTGAGGGAGCTCGTGTGTAGCTCACGGAAATGCCAGTGCCACTCTTGTTGCACTTAGTACAAGCTGGTTTGACTCCATGACTCACATTCCTGTCTTGAAACTGGAAATCATAGAATCACAGAATCATGGGATGATTAGTGTTGGACACAACCTTAAAGTTCATCCAGTTCCATGGGCAGGGACACCTCCTGCTATCCCAGGTTGCTCCAAGCCCTGTCCAACCTGGCCTTGAACACTTCCAGGGATGGGGCAGCCACAGCTGCTCTGGGCACCCTGTGCCAGTGTTTCACCTCCCTCACAGGGAAGAATTTCCTCCTAATACCTGATGTAAACCTCCCCTCTTTTTGGTTTGAAGAAATTTCTCTTTGTCCTCGGAACACGGCCCGTCCCTCTCTCTCTCAGGCAGCCCCGTACAGAGAGGGTTCATGTGTCAGGATAGCAGGAGAGAGGCGAGTCCCTTGGATGAAGAAGTGTTTCCCTTCCAGATCTCCTGGACAGAAATATGTGCCCATGCGCTGCACAGCTTGACAAGGAACGTGCAGCGAATCCAACACATCCTGGACGTGTTGGATTTGCTGGGCACACATGGACCATCTGGCCAACACATGGGCCTCGGGTTTGACATGTCCAGGAAGCGTCTGACTGATGGTGGACGCACCAGGCAGCACATGCAGGACCCCAGCCCCGCTGTCACTGCGGTGGAGGTGGGTGTGATGCTCACGGAGCTGATCTGTGGCTGTGCCAGCATTCCTGGGCTGATTTCTGGAGATTCAGACACAGGTAAGTGCCAAAATCTCAACGTGCCCCTGGACAAAATTCAAAAGAGGACGTACCCGAGGAAACACGTGGTGATTCTGATGTTCTATAAATTGAAATTGGGAATTATCTGCTTGCAGAGGATGGGATTCCAACGGGAGGAAAACGTGTTCCTTGGAAAATTAGCAGAATATATAAGCAGCAGGAATAAGGGGAGAGTGTGACCTTGAAACTGAACACCCCCTTTTGATCCCAGATCTAAAATTATCCAGATTTCAGTAGAAGTTTCTACAGCAGTCTTAGTTCAGTTTTTAAAAACAAACCCCTCGTGACTAGAAGTCCAGACCCTCCATGTTTCGAACACAACCAAGTCTGCCAAGGGTGCAGCACCCGATCCCAGCGCCAGATTGTCCCTGTAGCTTAGCACCCATCTGCAGCCAATATGCTGAGCTCTTAACAGAATTGAGGGGTTTTAAAACCTGGTCTTCTGGGCCTGATCCCATGGACCTGGGCTCACCAAAACCAATGGACTTCAAGGAGCTTTGGATCAAGCTTTGTGCTAATTTACTTATCTCATAGAACAGCTTAATTAACAAATGTTTGCAAAGCACTTCGGGATCCTTCCACGGACAGTGAGACTCCTCTTGCTGCCAGTCCCACTGACAAAGCAAAGAGGTTTAAAGTCAACAGGCAGCAGATGAATTGTATGGACACAGATGGGGATGGAGGGACATCTCGGATGGGTCGGCCACCACGGAGTCCCCCCTGAACCTTGTGGTACAGGGAATGGCCAGCATGTGGGCTCAGAGTGAAAGGGAGCCCTTACAGCTTCCCAGCATTTGGGATGCTTCTATTTCATGTGCAGCTGAGCTGTTCTTGAAATGATCTGTGCAGGGACAGGAGATGAAGTCTCAAAGCACTCGTGGCAATGGTATCCCAGCTTGAGCTTTCTACCTTGGGATAGTCTATGATTCTGTGCAAGAAGAAAATGAAGAAAAGCCTAAAAAAGGTGTCCTGGTTCCAAGCAGGTGTTTGCTCCCCCTGTCCTCCCCACCACCAGCTCATCCCCTCAGTCTATGGGATGTGGGATGCTTCCACAGCATCAAACCTTTCCCAGCAGCTGCCACCTTTCCTCCAGACTTGGGTCATGTCGGTGGCAAAGGGATGCAGCACTGGGAAGTGCCAAATTCGGCTTCACACTGATGACACAAATTCATCCAGAAAGTTTCTCTCTGCGTTAGCTCTTGATGGTGACTCTAAGTCGCTGTTTTGCCTAAGGACAGGCTGCTGGCACCTCCTCAGTCAATGTCAGCTTTATTCCTGCCTCCCACAGAACTTTCTGTCACCAGCCGTGGTGCCCGGCCACCCCTCCCCGATGGCTCTGGCACCGGCAGCAGCTGCAGTTTGCAGTTTTTCCCTTTTCTTTGATCGTTCTGCAGCCTCGGGAAGGGGCATGTGATGCCGCTGCCTGATCCGGACCTCTCTGCTCCGAGGGCTCTGCCACCGTCCCTGCCTTTAATTAATACTTTTTTCCCCCCCTGACAGTAATTCGGGGATGTGGACTCTAAAACATTTGGAAATACCCACTTTTTAACTAGAAACACTGCGTTTCTGCCAAAACCTCGCAGGGGTGCTCACTGAGTGGATATAGCTGTGCAGAGACTACACCCATGGTGAAATCCTCACTTGCAATGCAGCACTACCTGCCCCCCAAAAATAACCTTTTACCTCTCTATCCAAGGAGCTGGGAATGATCCAGCCCTCAACAGCTCCGTGATGTGAGCCCCTCTGACCTACTCCAGCTCGTGGAGCTGGCTCAGGCCACCTGGCAGAGCTAACTTTAACCTGAATTACTCCTGAAATCCAGCTTCCCCAGAGGCAGCGATGCCAGACGGGAGGTAAGATCATTCCCAAGCAGCTGCTATCACTGGGAAGAGGATCAAAGTCTTGGTTGTAGCCCAGCTACGCCCCCAAAATATTGTATGAACTGAGAGATGCTGCTATCAGGGACCCATCAGGATTAGTCACTGCCCATGTTGCCAATTCCTGTGTTTTTTCTAGGAGCGTTTCTGGTTGCCTTAAATTCCCAGCTCTGTGAGTCATGTGAATCTGTGTGAGTATAAATTTTTGGTTTTTTAAAGTAAGTTTCTAGACCTTGTGGCTGTGCAGAATAGCAAGGTGATGTAACCAGAGTGAAATCTGACAGCCCCAGGAGAAGACAAATGAAAAGGAACTCAACTTTCAAATTTTTTTTTTTTTTCTTTGCGTCACACAAACTTTTTAGTCAGTTTGGTGATTTCAGGGTCTGGCTCACGCTGCTGGAACACTCAGAGCTGGATGTCCACAGTTTTTCCCTTTTTTCCTTTCACTTTCTGATTTCCAGGGAAACTTTCTTCTCCTGAGACCTCCATGACAGAACTTAATATGGAGGTAGAAACAAAACCATGTCCCTAAAATGACGTGCTGCCTCCAGAGCAGGCATTGCTACCAGCCTCATGCATGGGATCCAACCTGGACAAGTGAAAAGTCCATAATTTACAGGGCAGAACACCATAGTTCCCACCAGCAGCACATGGGCACGCACACAATCCTCACCCGCACTGGGAGCACCCCTGCATGGAGACGTGTGTGCACACAAATGCCTCGGACACAAACACATGTGGTTTGTGGGCATGTTTCAATGTACATAATCCTGTGTGTTTGCACCTGTAACACGCACTTACACAGACACACACGTGGGTTTCACCTGGTTGTAAAGTGTGGAGTGAGCCACAGCCAGCAGGTGTGTGCAAGGGAACCAGCAGCGTGTGTGTGAGCCTCCAGGTGCATTAAATGCACATTTTTGGCCATTTAATGGGGCACACCCAGCCGTGTACCTGTGGTAAAACTTGCCATGGGATGTGTGTGTGCACCCTATGGAGCCACCATCCATCACATCCCAATACAAAGAGACAACTCTTAGAAGAAGGAATATCCCAAACTGCCACGAAAGGAAACATCCCAAACTGCCACTCTCAGGAGTCCCATCACTACACAACGGTGCAAAAGGAAATAAAACCTAATCAGGACACTGTTCTACAGCCATGACCAAAATGAGCTGTATGAAGCACAGCAGTGGGTGGGTTCTCCTGCCCTTAGCTTTACTTTTTTTTGTGCACACCTACAGCACAAAGCTCTAACCCACAGCAGCGCAGAGGGGATCTGCCCCTCTGGTTGGTGTCCCAGCATCTCCCTGAGTTTGTACTATGCATCAGGAAACCTGCGTGCCAAAATCAAACTGAGAGCAAAAATTTCCCTTCCCAAAGTGCCTGGGCACATTCACAGGGAGAGCTCCAGCAGCACCTTACCGGCTGAGTCAGTGGATGAGCCATCTCCTTGTGCTGGGCGCCCCATCTGCCGAGTTTAGCCGCAGCTGAGATCTTCTGCTGGTACACCCAGAAAGGGGAGGTGGGGGGAAAGAAAAAACCTTCCTGTGAGGATCCCAAAGAGAGCAAATCATACAGGATACAGTGGGGGGTGGAAAGGTCCAGGCCCGGTGACGAGGCACCGGTGCCACCACCCCCAGCCCTCGCTGCAGCCGCTGCCATGGCCGGAGCTGCAGCGCGATGTGGCTCGGCGGGAGCCTCGCATCCCTCTGCATTGTCCCTCTCCAGAGCGAGCTCCGGCAATCTCATTTCATGGGAGACATCTGGTTTGATTCAAAGAGAAGAAAGGGGCGAGGGGAGAACCGAGCGCTCCCAGCTCGCCCAGCCCGGCTGGCTGGGAGCTGGGGAGCAATTGTCAATGCTTCCCTCGGCGCTGAACCCTCCTCATTTCAATGAGAAAGGCCAGCCCAGGGAGCAGGGCTGTCCCACGGCCCCCCCAGCATTCCCCGGCTGCAGGAGGGGGCTTTGCTGGGGCACCGAGCCAAGGCTGGGGAGCCGAGCCCCAGCAGCCTCACCAAGCCTTGCTGTGCCTGCAACCACTGCAAGGCCTTGGGGGGCTGGGGGGCTCCCCCTGCTTCTTTTCCATAATTCCCAGACCTGGTGGACATGCAGTATTGTCCCTCAAATGCTTGTGGCTGTGTCAGGGGTCTTCCCACTGCAAGACCAAAGTCCTCATGTTTGCGGGGAGCCCTTTTGGAAGGCCATGTCCTCCTTCACATGGGCGAAGCACTGAGCTCCTTGTCCATTGTGGGGGAGGGGGAGGGGGTGTCCTGCCCCATTGTGCCACCATTCACCCCCTGACCCTGGTGCCCTGCTAGCTGTACCCAAAGTGTCCCTGCTGAGCCGCCACTCCTCCCAGGGATCCCTGTAGTGCCTGTGTGTCTCTGGATGGATCCCAGCCCTCGACACCTCTGCAGCACCCCTCATGAGTGGGTAGCAACAGGTCCCCACACAAATCCTCCTTTGCCCATGACCCCTCCACAGTGGGGGGCACATGGTGGGCCCCCACACAGACCCCTTCCACTCATGACCTTCCATGCTGGGTGCACTCAGTGGGTCCCCTCACAGACCCCTCATTCCTGTGATCCCTCTGTGCCAGGGGTGTGCACAGGAGTCACTCATGGAACCCAGAGTGGGACCCCACGCAGGCCCTACACCCGTGTCTCCGTGGGTCCCCATGCAGCCCCTACACCCACCCGCTGCGTGGTGGGTCCCCAAGGAGCCTCCTCCTCCTGTGACACACGGAATCCCACTGCAGCCCGCTCCACCCGTGGCACAGTGGTCCCACCACAGTCCCTTCCACCCATGGCACGGCTGATCTCCTTCATCATCCTCCAGCCGTGTCACAGCACCTTCCCACGCAGTCCCCTCCACCCGTTCACTGCACGGCTGGTCCCCTCACACCTCTGTCACCCGTGTCACAGCGTGTTACCCCCACCCCCATGCCATGGTGACATGGTGGATCCTCCTGCATTCCCCTCCCCTGGTGGCACCGCGTGGTCCCCCTGCAGCCCCTACACCCGTGACACAGTGTGTGCCCCTACAGCCCCTCCGCCCTCTGCACAATGTGTCTCCCCACAGCAACGCCCCCTCCGTGTCCCCGGCGGTGCCCCGCACCACACTCCACCCGTGTCACCGTGGGTGTCCGTGCAGCCTCTCCACTCGTGTCACCGTGGGTCCCCTGGAGCCCCCTCACCGCGTCCCCCCACATCTCACACCCACTCGCGTCACCGTGGGTCCCCACATCCCCTCCCGGTGTCACAGCGGGTCCCCCTCCCCACACCGCCAGCTCCGCTCCCGCCGCCCCGGTCCCGCCGCCCCGGTGCCGCCGCCACGGGCGGGGGTGTGCCGCCACCGGACTACATCCCCCATCAGCCCGCGGGCCGGGCCGCTCCCGCAGCGCCCAGCCGCCTTCAAACAAAAGAGTTTCCCCCCGCGGGGCCGCGCTCCGCTCCGCGCCCCCCGCACCCCCCGCACCCCCCGGCGGCGGCGGCCGGGGGCGGGGGCGGCTGCGGGGGGACCGCGGTGGAGGCGGCGGGCGCGGGGCTCGGGTTACACGGGAAAGGGGCTTGGCCAGGCGGGGGGCGGGGGGCGGAGGGTCCTTTTCTCTCTCTCGTTCTCTCTCTCTGCCTTTTTTTTTCCCTTCTCCCTCCCGAGCTCTTTGTGTCCCCCCCCCCCCTCCTCTCGCCCCCCCCCCCCCCAGCCCCCAGCCCCCTCCCAAGCCTTTGTTAGCCATGCCTAGCCTGGTAGTCCCAGGGATAATGGAAAGGAACGGGGGTTTCGGCGATTTAGGCTGTTTCGGTGGGAGCGGCAAAGACAGAGCGCTGCTTGAGGATGACCGGGCGCTGCAGCTCGCCCTGGACCAGCTCTGCCTGCTGGGGCTAGGCGAGCCTTCCTCCTCCTCCTCCTCCTCGGCCGTGGTGCTGGTGGAGGACAGCAACAACAACAACAATAACCCGCCGCCGCCGCCGCCGCAGCAGCCCCCGCCGCCGCCGCCGCCGCCGCAGCAGCCGCCGCCGCCGCCGCCGCCGCCGCCCCCGGCGGCCCCGAAGGGCTCGGCGGCGCCCAGCGCCGGGGCGGCGGAGCCCAAGTTGTGCGCGCTCTACAAGGAGGCCGAGCTGCGGCTCAAGAGCAGCTCCAACACCACCGAGTGCGTCCCGGTGCCCAGCTCCGAGCACGTGGCCGAGATCGTGGGACGGCAAGGTGAGCGCCGGGCCCCCGGTACCCCCCATCTCCCCCGCTGTCGCCGCTCGCCGGCCCCGGGACACTCCCCCGCGGCCGGGGGGCCCCGCCGCTCCCTCCCGCCCATTGTTCGGGGCCGGGGCCGCTCGGCCCCGCCGGGGACAAAGCCCGGGGCTCCCGGGCTGTGGGCGGGTGGCCGCGCTGCCGGCACGGAGGTTTTTGGGCAGGGTGGGATGGGGGGGTCTGCGGGAATGCTGCGGGGGCTTGTCCGGCTGCCGACACCGAGCCCCGCGCGCCGCTCCCCGGTTCTGCCCAAGAGCCGATCTCTGCCGCGCTCTCCTTAAGAAAAAAACTGGGAATAAGGCGGGGGAAGGGCGGGGGGTGCAGGCTGAGCCCGGCCCCGCGCCTCGGAGTCCCCCTTTGTTGGCCGGGCGGAGGGGGTGTGGTGGTGCCGGGCTCGGTCCGAGCGGCCGGTGAGCGGCTGGAGCCGAGCTCCTCCCGCCGCCCCCGGGAGCGGGGGGACCCCGGAGCTCGGGGACCCCGGAGCGGGACCCGCCGTCCCGCGTGGGCCCCCCGCAGCCGCTGCCCGCGCGCCGCCACAGTGATGCTTTTGTTCTCACGGCTCCGTTCGGAGCGAGGTGGAATGGAGGAGGGCTTTAAAAAAAATTACATCTATATATCTATATCTATCTATATATATATATCCATACCACACCCACTCTTAAGTCACCCCTCGCCCACCCCCACCACTCCCGGGTGTGAGGCGCGGGGCCCCGCGCCTCCCGTGGGCACTGCGGGAGTCGGGGCACGGCGCTGCTGAGAGAAGTTTTGTGTCGCTACAGAGAAAAAAAAATAATAATAGTGCGGCTAAGTGTTGGGCTTTTTTTTTTTTTCTTTCTTTCTTTCTCTGAACAAGTAACTTGACGCTCTGGAAGTGCGATGGGCAGAGCCTGCGGCTCCATGGCCAGATGCTCCCCTGTGGGTTGGGATCGAAGGGCCTGAGTAGAGGGTTTGTGGTGGGATCCGGGGGGTGATGACCCCGAGAAGGGCTGAGGTGGGCAAGAGGAAGCCACGGGGAGAGGGGCACAAATGGCTCCTTGCTGGACATCTCTGACGCTAGGACGTGCGGATGGAACAATGGGGCCTGCGGAGGCTCTGCTCGCTCCCACCGCTGGAGCAAGGGTCCCGTTGCCACGGACCCGTCCCGGTTCTCCGGGATGGAGAGTGGGCAGGAGTCCGGGGGGTGCTGACCTCCCCAAACCTTGGGGCGTCTGCAGCCGAGGGAAGCGCTCTCGCTGTGGGGTTCACACTGGGATGGGGGCCCCTCACTGGGGAGGTGGGCAGGAAGGGGTGAAGGTCTGGCCCAGGAGATGCCACTGGCCCTGATCCCGATCCTCCCGTGCTGCCTTCACCGCCGGGAGCAGCGGGCAGGCACGGTGGGGCTCAGCACCAGCTCTGCGCTGCTGTGTGCGAGGCCGTGGAGAATCAGGCCCCCTTTGTTTAATAAAGTTGGGAAAGAGGATTCGGCAGGCGGAACCAAGGGGAAATGTGCCAGGGCTGTTTTCTTCCAGGATCTCACTCCTGCCCCAGACTCCTGAGAAGGGGGTGTGTGTTTCGGTGTGTTCAGAACGCAGCACGTGCCTGTTGTGTCCAGAGCGATGGAGAGGAACGTGGAGACCTGGATTTTTTCCACCATTTTTTGTGTGTGTGAGGGTTTTCCCACATCTGGGAAGCTGAAATGTCAGTGTGCTGGAACTGCGGGGATGCAGCTGTGGCTGTGCTCCTTTGGCTGGTGGGGCAGATGGTGCAGCCTGTGCCCCATCGTGGGGGTGGGGAGATGGATCCTGTGCTGGGGATTCCTTCAGCACAGTCCCTGTAGCTGCGGCTCTTCACTCCAGCAGAGATCATGGCCCACACTTGTTTCTAAAGGCCTGTAGGAATGTCTCCACTGTCTCCTGTGCCTTGTTTTTGTGTAGAAGGCCGAATTAAGAGGGTCTGGATCTGGGTGTGGGGCTCCCAGGGGATTGATTCCTGGACTCGCATGGATGCCTGACCAGGAATCCCAGATTGTCATCCCTTGGTAGTGCCGCTCCTGTGGGGGATGGTTTTCTAGGAATATAATTGTTTTATGGGTACCTGTGAACAGGGTGATAAACATCTTGAAAAAGGGAGGGGGGAAAAAAGTAATCATGAAATAAAGATTATTTCACGGCTTTACTTGGTAACAGGGTTTAGCTTTTTCTTCAACTTATTATTTTCTGAAGAAACATACTATTCCTTCCGATTATTTTATAATAATATCAACCATCTATGAAAGTGTTCCTCACAGGCAGGCATGGATATGAGAGGCCTGGATCTGGGCACGGCGGCCCTGGTGCACACACTTGGCCATGGGAATTCCACCTGCTATCAGGCCACCCCTCACTTTGCCCAAGGAGTGAAAAGGCACTTAAGTGTAAATAAGGCTCAATCCCGATATATTTTTATTGGGATGTCTGTATGGGTGGCTTGTGAAGAGGTGTAATCGTGGCAGAGGGGGTGGCTTCACTCCAAGCCAGAGATGCTGCAGGAACTCAACCTGAGCTTGGCAGCTCCTGCTTTCCCCAGGAGCTGTGAACGTGCCCTGGAGGAGCCAATCGCCTGCTGGAAACCTTGTTCCAGTTTGTGCTGGGGCTGCTTTGTGCTCTGAATCCGAGCAGAGAGCCCGCCGGGCTGGGGGACTGGCTGGGATGAGGTGGTGGGCTGTGGAAAAGGGCACTGGTGGGAACTGTCCAGACAGGCTCCTCCACACCGTGCCCCAGGGTCAGTGGCAAAGAGTTGGGTGGCTGGTGGGATGTGCCAAGGGCTGCTTTGCAAACTGGAGGGCAGGAAACTGGAAAAGGAAGAATGAGGGGATGGAGTCACAAGAAATCCCTTTGACTGGTGCCTAGGACCCCTGGGCATGGTTGGTAGTGACACCCCTTCCCTGGCTGGAGCTGGAGCCATGACCCCCATGCCTGTCCTGCTGTTGCAGTGAGGGGCAGGGGTGAGTCTCTGCCTGAGTCAGGGCTCCTGCAGGTCATCTCCCCTTCCCCTGGCATGTGTGGGAACTCCAGCTGTGCTGAGTTTGGGTGACCAAACCTCCTGTGGGTGCTCCCTGGTTCTGGAGCCAGGCCAGGCCTGCGTGGCACACCAGGGTGCTTGGTGACTCTTGTATTTCTCCTCCCAGCTCGCGTTGTGGGTGTCCTGCCTGCATCAGCCTGTGCTGGCTCTCACGGCCATGCCGATGAAATTGTGAAGACAAAGCACCAGAGGGGTTTGCAGTAGGTTTTTTAGGAGATGGTGGGACATCAAGGGATGTGGGTTGAGATGGGGTGTGGGTGCTGGGAGGAATGGAGAATGTCTGAAGGGCATCATGTTTTGGTTGTGCAGACAGTGAAATTAGGAAGGGGCAGAAATCATCAGTCGCTGCGTTTCTTACCTAGAAGTGACCCGAGGTGGGTGTGGATTAGCCAGATCAAGATTTGTATCCAACTTTTCTGCCCGCTGCCACAGACAAGCTGGGCTGCTGTCAGTGGAGCCAGGGAGAGGCTGAAGGGCACATTTAAGGCCAGATGTTGTGGTTAGGGAGACATGGTGCTGGTTCTTTGTGTGTCTGGTGTGTGCAGGTGTCGGGAGAAGCTGTGGGGTTGCTTTGGCTTCATGCTGCGCCCACTGCCAGATAAGACTTTCCCCGGAAGGGTTTTTGGACTCTCTAAGGATTTTTGGTCCTTCTAAGGGTTCTTGGTCTAATCACAGTAATAGCTTCCATTGTCACCTGTACTCACAGAAACCCTTTGATGCAGCACCTCCCAGCCTGCTCCAACCAGCCTGTTGTCACCAGGAATGAGATTATGCGAGAGAGGATCTTAACATAAATTGCTCTTTCTTGGCAAGGCGAAGTCAAATAACAAGAGGCTCCACTAAACCCAGGTGATTGGGTTCTTTGTGTAGCTCCAAACATGCTCCAATGCTTTCAGCATTTAAAAATAGTCCGAGGAAGCCTTTTCCATTGAGGAAGTCTGATGATGGCAGCTCCCCCACCCACCCTGTGGAGGTGGATGTACGTACAGCATGCGAGGAGCAGCGAGGGGAGCAGATCTTCTTGTCTCCTTGCTTCGCCGAAATCTTGGGTGGAAAGCCACCCGATTTGGTGGGGTCTGGAGACAACCTCCGTGCGCTGCTCTGGCAGCTCGGGATGGGCCTTAAAGGGAGAGAGCTATTGCAGTGGGTGTCGGGTTGTTACAAAGTGTTAATGAGCATCGCTCGGAATTTACACCGGGGAAAAGTGTGGAGCGGGATCGACTTTGTGCTGTTTGAACTGGAGGTGGGAGGAGAAAACGGGTCTGGGAGAGAGAGAGAGACAAAGGGAATTTTCTAGGGATACACGCACGCTCCCCGCGCATCCACCGGGCTGGGTGCCGCGCTGACCGAGTGAACCGCTCCGCAGCGCAGCCGCCGGAATGTAGGGCAGCGGGGATGTGCTGCCATTGGGTGGGGGCCCCGCCTTTGTCTGGCAGCCCCCTCCCCGCGGCCCCGCCGCTCGCCGTGCCCCGCTTCCCCCGCGCCCTGCCCGGCTGCGCTCGCTGCTCCGCGCACGATCGTGCCGTGCGGGGCACACCCACTCCGCGCGGGCATCGCTGCCGGGGCTGGGGGCTGCCACTTCCCAACTTTCCAGGCGGTGATTGTATGTAGCCCTTTTGGGTGTTTTGGTGGGCTTTTTTTTTTTTTCCTTTTTCTTTGTTGTGTTTTTTCTTTTTTTTTTTTTTTTTTCCCCCATAAACAACTTTCATCACAATGTGAAAAAGCGTAAAATCGCCGCGCTGGAACAAGGCAGTTGCTGGTTTTCCTGGCATGGTGTGTTGGGTGGTGTTTTTCCCTTTCTTGTAAACACAACTTGCATCATCAGGACAATAAACCCTCCGTGTGAAGAGATTTAGTTGGTTGGTTGTGGTCCTTTTGTGTGCATTTGTGTTTTTTGACACCACTTTCATCAGGTCTTC